TGTCCGTCCGTGCTTCTGTCCACCCATCCGTCCGTGAGTCCGTACGTCTCTTCATCCGTCTCTTTGTCCGTGTATGCTTCCATCCGTCCATCCGTGTTTCTATCCACTCATCCTAGCGTTTGTATGTCTGTCCATGCTCCCGTCTATCCGTGCTTTTGTCCGTACGTTTGTCTGTCCGTCCGTGCTTCCATCCATCCATTCGTCCATCCGTCCATGCTTCCGTCCGTCCGTCCATTCGCGCGTCCGTCCATGCGTCCATCAGTCCGTCCTTGTCTCCGGCCAACCATCCGGCTGTCCGGACGCACGGATGGTTGGACACACGGACGAACGAATGCTTTGCCCCACTCATCATAATTCACTCTGTGGATATGCTGTTAAAACTACTCACACCATCTTGCTATATTATTCCCACGGCCATATACACAAAACGCCATCAGTTAGTATGATACACTCATTAGCGGCGTGTTGTGTATAGCGCAACTAATGCGGCTGCTGCTGAGCGCGGGGCGAGTTCCTGACCCGTCAACTAACGACGCCGTTCGGTTCCGTGAAGCAGAACGGGGAAGACCCGCGCGTGGGAACAAAGGAGACTCCCTCGTTAATACGGGTCACGACAGGAGCCGTCAAGGTTGCCCCACATTTGGGACAAGAAAGGGAAAGCTTACTCGGAAGCACGTCTTGCAAGAATCAAGTCAAGCGCAGTCATCTAAGTTATTGTTGGTATACACGTGTGCCATTGAGAATGCCGCAGAACGTGACCACTGGGCTGACCGAGACATGGTTGCGGCACGCAGACGAGCTCATTCTGCCCCGCTATACGTCATCACCCAGTGTATTCAAGATGGTGGAGCGCCTCGCTGTCGCATGCACACCTGGTCAGCGCACCGGGCCTGATTGTATACTCACCGCGTTTAAGGAGGCTTCTACGAAGCGACATTTAATGAGAAAGCTGACGGAGATCGAGCGTGCCAACGACTACTGGTGAAGGTCAGCTGACACATGGCCTGGCATGGCAGAGAGTGTGACATGTGGAGAACCTATCCCTTCATGTGTTCTATTTGGTAACGTGCTTGTTCGAATGCAGTGCCTCTTGTGAAAGTGTTTCTGCGATTGGTTGTGGCGGTGCGAGCCCACACATGCGATTGGCTTGTGAGGAGACCCTTTGTTCAACCGAGGGTTAAAAAGAGGGTGTTTGAACGTGAAACGAGAGCAGAGGTTTGTGCTTGGACCCGGTCACATGGCTGAGTACTGCAATACTGTATCTCTTCACCGGACTACGGCTGTTCGCGCTGCCACCGAGCACTCGAGTCATCGAGGGGCACCCACTCCGAACGTCGACACACCTTCCGTTCTTAGATAGTGTAGAAGCTAGTCGAGGAGTGAGGAAATTAACTCCATCTATTGAGCAAGTCATAATCTAGAGGTGATTACTACATACGGAGGAGGTATGACTCATGGCGTAAGGTGCTTAGCCCCTAAAAAGCCGCCCGTATCTTCTCTAGCGGGGAACTCGAGAAAATGCGTCGCAGAGGGGTGGGGCTACAGCGCGAATGTTGCGTAATTCAGTATGGCTTGAGAATGCCTAATTGCTATTGTGCCTTTATTATTCTTATTTATCATGTGAAGGAGAAGCGTTGCCTCAACGAGTGGTGGGCCGCTGATTCTGGACTGTTTTCTCCTACTGATGAAGGTACTGTTGCTTACATCGCATTTACTCGAGTCAAGCAAAGCGTCAAGTCTAGGGCAAGCCAAGTAAACATGACCTTGACGCAATTCGAACGTGCGATCCAGTTTGTACCTATACGGGGCGGCCGGTGAACGGTTGATTGGGGGACCATAAAGCTTACCTTTTAAAGGTGGAACGCGATAGAGATATCCTGTTTCTAGTGCGTACTTCAAACAGTGCATGAAACCTTTTTAAACTTGTTATGCATCCATTACAAGGCCTTAAGGGAATAGGCGCAGTAACGTGTGTGCCTTTTGTTATAGGTGACTGGCTTTAAACCACGAAGTCGATACAATAATTATACGCTTTGACGCCCGCTCGCAATGAGGGCTTCTACAATGCACTATTACTGCAATATGCCATGTTGTACTGCGAATCATAATACAGGACGCGTGTGTCTGTAAAACAAGAAAGTTACTTTGGCTGCGTTTTCAAGCAGATGGGGTTATTTTCACTGTATTAAAGTGGTGTTAAACTGAACTGACCGCATGGTAAAATATGCTAGTTCTAGGCAAAAGAACACATGAGCCGACCCACTTGGACGCACTCAGACTCAGATCAAGCCATGAGTCCGAGTCTGAGTAATATTTTGGTGAGTTTGAGTCCAAGTGTGTCCGGTTAATAACATGTTTTTTCAGCGTGAGCCCGAGTGAGTCTGGTTCAGGGACATTTTGGTGAGCCTGAGTTCGAGAGAGTCCAAAGCTATAAATATATTTCATGAGTGAGTCTGAATGAGCTCCACAAGTTTTGCTCACCTTTGGTTACTAGAGAGGAAATCAGCCTCGTAAGTCATCCTTTACCTTGAATATCAAAGGCTGCAGCAGGACGAGCTGGTTAGACCTTTCGACATAGGTTGGCGAAATTTGTGGAGCTCACTGGGTAAGTCGACTCATGAGTTCGATAGCGTAGAATTAGGTTTTCCCGCCATGTTATCAGAACTCTCCAACACCAACATCTCCTGTAGCAAGTGCTCTCCTTGGCACCTTTAATATGATACCTTTGAACACGAGTTTCGAGGGGTTGCAAATCAGTACGGACAGTTTTTATTGAAACTGGTGAAAAGTAACATATATTTATCAACAACTTCACTGGAACAGTTTGTGCGGTAAAGGTCAATGTACTTCCCTAAGTATTTCACCCCTCTCCTCGATCAATATTGAAATGCTTCATCAACGATACTACTTTGATTGATTGATTCGTTCATTCATTCATGGATTGATATACGCGGTCTAACGTCCTAAAAGCACCTTAAGCTTCTGACACATGCCGTAGTGGGGGGCTTCGGAAATTTAGACTGCTTGGTATTCTTTAACGTGCACCTAAATCCGAGCACATGGGCTAAAAGCATTTCTGGCTCCATCAAAAACGCAGCCTCCACGACGGGCGCCTGAAGGAATATCTAACCGGCTCCTGTGCAGTCTCGATGGGAATTCCATCAAGATAATGACAACGAAATTCGATAAAGCCTCTAAGGCGGCGGGGCCAGTACCGCAAAACCGGCGCACTGCTCCGGTTTTGTGCATTTCAATGCCCAGCAGGCCACTCAGCGAAAAGAATCTCCGCCCCAATTCCCTCACGGCACGTGTCGGTAGAGTCGCAGACTACGCCGTCATAGGCAATGTCACCACAGACTACATTGAGGACAAACACGTCTTCAGACACAATCTCATTGGCTTACGGCAACCACTATCAACGGAGGACGCGATGTCATTACATCACCGAGACATCAGGACCATCAGGCACACGCCCACAATACAGGTGATGAATTTGGCAAAAGCATTTGATACTCTTAAACATGAACGCGTACTACTGGAGACCTCTAGTCCAAGGCAGGGCGGAAAATGTCATAATTACGTCAAACTTTGCCTTAAGGACAGAACAGCGATCATCCTTATGGTGCTATGGTGCCTTGACGCGCGATTTCTGCAGCGTCTACAACGACATCTGCAGCGTCTACAACGGCATGGTTGCCATATTTGAGCCAACGGAACCTTACTGGCATCTCAACGCTCTACGGTGGTTCCCCTGAGAGGCGCGTGATGCAGAGCAAAAAGTGGCATCACGGTGGCATGATCCCCTTCCAAAGAACAGCAAGAAAAAATGGCAGCATATCCACTGAGTGAATGATGGATAGTGGGGCGAAGCATCCGTCCATCCATTCGTTCTTGCTTTCGTCCATCCATGCGTGCATCTGTGTGGCCACCCATGCGTCCATCCGCCCGTCCGTGCGTGCATCTGTTCGTGCGTCCGTCCCTGCTTTCGTCCATGCATCCGCTCCTGCGTCCGCCCATGCGTCCATCCATCCGTGCAGCCATCCGTGCGTCCGTCCATGCATCTGTCTGTGTCCGTTCGTCCACATATTCAACATTCCAAGTACGACCATCTCGCATCTTTTCATAATATATTCCTCATATAGAAGCACCGCCATGCAGCGGACATTTCAAAGGACTGAAGCGAGAGGAGGCACACGCACACTTTCTCACGGCTTGCGCTTCGTGTCTACTTCCCACCTTTAACCACCTCGAGTCCATGGTATATACTAGTTCACTGTATTCATGGCACTGCGGCCCAACGCTCGATAAACCTCTCTAAAACCTAGGAGGTTACGCCCAGCGAGTATAACGTAGCAACCCTTTCTTGTCTTCTGTGCGTTGTTGAACAATAAAAAATTCGCAGCGGCGCACGGTAATAAAAGCAGAATTCTCCTGCCTCTCATTCCCCCTTAGCAGCCATTGGCATGTACATTGAGCACTATCTTTTATTGTTCAACAACGCGCAGAAGAAATCTCTCACCGGTACCGCCTTGGAGGTCAAAATGTTATACTTGTTACACACTACAACAGCGGCTACGAGGGACGAACTGGTGTCGCTATAAGAAGCTGTGCCCCTAAAACCATGGGACAAGTCTGCAGTAATCCCAAGCGCCTAGAAAACATCGGCATACCGTATGGCTCGCTACCATCACCGCTCGTCAAAGTGACCATGAAAGGTCTCTCACTCGAGCTTACCGCAATCTCCTACGTCCACCACGTCATCTACGTGGACGACACAACCATCTGAAAAGGCGTGGTTTCGATGTGCTTCCTGCAGAGGCGACAATAGAGGTGAACACTACGCATGCTCCACTTCACGTCTGCCTCCACCTCGGGCGCTGCAGGCTTTTCGTGCTCACGAGCAGAGCCATAACAGGGTTTCACTCGCCACGACGCTTTAGTATGAACACGCCCCAATAGATACACATTCATCAAAGCTTAAAGCGCATCACAAATGTTTTGGGGGTGTAGCTCAGTGGTAGAGCGCTCGCTTTGCATGCGGAAAGTCCCAGGTTCAAACCCCGGCTCCTCCATGAAGGTCATTGTTTTTGCTTTAAAGAGAACGTCACTGGCATGTATTCCGGCAAGTCATTGACTTTTTCGGATAAAATAAATCACTGGCACGCGCACGTGAAAGAATTTTTTTATTCTTCATTTCACCAAACCATATGTATCCCTCCTACTGTTTAAACGCTTCTAGCAAGAAACACAAACATTGTAATTCTAGTTCTTTTAAAGGTGACACACTGTTTAACTACACTTGAAAAAAAAGCGATGCTTTTCAGTGCTGTCCAGTGGTGATGCTGACTTTATAATGAGGCGCATCATGCCTATTTAATTCCTCACCATGCGTGAACAAGGTGACAATACTTTTATTTCAATGCAAGAAACACGCACCCTACGTCTTCTCTGGCAGCCCTGCGCGACAACGCACGGCAGCACTTGGTTATCACCTAGTAAAACTTGCTGCATACTCTCGTCTGTACGCGCACGTTTCTGTGTGCCTCGTACAGCTCAACACCAACAAGCTACTTCGTTTGAATACGGCACCGCATATTTCACATGGTAGTGGCAAACTTACAAACAGCAGCGTGGTGCGCCTGTGCCACCGTCCACCTGGGCAGCCACGGGCTGGCAAATACGCACATATGTCATTAACTACTTCCCGAAGCAAGACGTGCAGCGATGGCGTAGTCGTTAGTGCGTCAGCTTCGCGTGCAAGAGGTCAGTGATTCGAATCCCGGTTACGCGCAGTTCTCAACCACTTTTTTTTAAATCCGCGTGGTGATGGAACTGCAATGAGAGGCCTGGGGTGTGGCCTCACCGGTGACCACCACCGGTAACGCACTCGCTCACCAGAGAACGATTGACCACCCTGGTGCAGTATTTGGCCACTACCTCCCACATGTATACGTCAATTAACTCACGGCCCTCAGTCCCCAGCGGCTTCGAAGCAACTGGCCACGGAGGCGGTCATATCTGCGACGCAGCAGAGTGTGCTAAGAATCTCTAGGTTCGGACAGGCTGCCATTGGAGTCTGAACTTGGCAACGTTTAACGCTAGAACCTTATCTAGTGGGGCAAGTCTAGCTGTACTATTTGAGGAGCTAAAGAGTGTTAAATTGAGTGTAATAATGGTTTGAATGCCAATAACTAAGGTGAAATAAGGAACCATAAATTTGGAGCTATCACGACTAGATGAATAGGCAGTATATGACATATATTTCGTTACATTAACAAAGTAAAATGATAGATTGTGAGCTGTTTAGCACACGAGACAGCGGTCGATGCCGAAGAACTGTTTGGTATTGAACATGCCTATTATTGTTTGAACCACTTTACACAGTCTCCCCTCATACATCACAACTACGATTCACCGGATTCGTCTTGATGCGGTCTTCAAAAGACGTTCTTTGCATATGATAAAGTGCAGTGCAACCAGCCCATACAGATGATATTGTGAAGCTAATTGAATTTAAAAAATACGACATATCCCTCTAATTCCGGGAGTCGATATCATTCCAAGCAGTAGGAAAGTAGTATCCTATCTATATAAAGTTTTATTGCTTTAAATCAAACGTTGCGAGTTCAACCGATTGTCTGTGCATATTGAGTAGTTATGCCTATGTATCGTGCAAGTTCGTAGCGAGAATGTTTTGTTCCATAGGACGAGGAACCACTTGCTCAAGGCGTAGACCATTTTAGAAAAAAAAGGCACTACTTGGGGATGCAAGAGGCTCATAGGACCATCCATATCACCACCCTTTTGACTACAGTATTGATCGTGGGATTACCAGGTACGTCTCCTTCAGTGACACCCAAATGTGTCTGATGGCATTTCGTAGCACTCAAGATAGGGCTTTGATGTAGGTTTTTTTACTCTGCCAGCATGAGCATATAACAACCTGTTTCCACCGTATTCCTGCGAGTTGGACAATGGTTAAGCAACAAAGGTGAATATGTTATCTTACATTCTTACAAAATCCGATAGCGAACACTGCAACCACAGTTGACATTGCTCCGGTATGACGCCACTGTAGGGTATTTTTCGTAAGTACACTGCCGTAGCCCTGTGGTATAGAATCCTTGACTACCACGCAGGATGTATGTGTTCAATTCCGGCTCTCATCCCAATTTTCTATCTTTCGGTTACTCCAATTTTTTTTCTCATCGACAACGCTGCCGACACCTGCCCCGCCTGCAACCCAAGCTCTATAACGCAGTTGCGAAAGCTTTATCACAATCAGTTATCGCCATTCACATTTTCTTGGCAACTGTCAATTACCTGTGGCTCATACCCGCACACCTTGCGCCATCATGATGATGATATGTAGCATTTAACGTCCCAAAACCACCATATGATTATGGGAGACGCCGTAGTGGAGGACTCCGGAAATTCCGACCACATGGGGTTCTTTGACGTGCAACCAAATATGAGCACACGGGCCTACAACATTTTTGCCTCCGTTGCAAATGCAGCCACCGCAGCCGGGATTCAACCCCGTGACCTGCGGGTTAGCAGCCGAGTACCTTATGACCACCCCAACGAGGCTACCTTGCACTTTGGTATGCGGGTTTGTGCCACACGTGACTGAAGGAAATGGTTTCATGACGTACGTGCCAAGTATGTCACGCTAGTCATATGTTTGTATGTAGGTCATACAGTAATGCTTCCCGTGCACGTTTTAGTGTGTCAAGTGAAGGAGTGCCCAAACATACGCGGATAAGATAGATAGATTGAAAAAGGGTTTATTGACGACTGATGCGACGGTGGTCCTACGAAGAAACACGATCGTGCAAGAGCAATGGTCAAGCAGATGCCGGCGATGATCAGCACGAGCCGAGCGAGCGAAGCCCAGCACCCAGTACCCAAGCGGTTGCGATGTTGCTTGCCAACGATGCTCTTTCTTCTTCACAATTTGCACCCGCCGAAAAAGAGCCATCCTGGCGACCTAAGAGTCTGGAGGCAGAGGGCTATAATATGGCTTAAGGCGGGCGACGTGGACGATGTCACGTCCACGCCGGCGCATGTCGTCAGATGGGGAAAGTGGCTCGATGAGAAAATTCACCGGCGAGGTTTGCTCCACAACGCGGTATGGGCCCTCGTACTTTGGAACGAGTTTTGAGGAAATGCCGGGGGTTTGGTAAGGAACAGCCAGCCATACAAGTGATCCCGGGGAATAGCTGGGGCTTTGTGACGAGTCGACGTTGTTTTCTTTCTGGCGCTGTTGTTCTCGAGACGTAAAGGTGCGTGCAAGTTCGCGGCACTCGTCCGCATTTCGGGCAGCTTCGGACACAGATGGGCATTCGGATGCGTCAGGACGGTATGGAAGGAGAGTATCGATGGTGTGGGATGGTTCGCGTCCATAAAGAAGAAAGAAAGGTGGTAGACTGTGCCGCGGTGAAAATCCAGTGGTAGACTGCGCCGCGGTGTTATATGCGAACGTAATGAATGGAAGAATGCGATCCCAGTTAGTATGATCGGATGTCACATACATGGCGAGCATATCGCCAAGGGTGCGGTTAAATGTTTCCGTGAGCCCGTTAGTCTGCGGGTGGTATGCCGTGGTCTTGCGATGAACAACATGGCATTCAGAAAGCAGAGACGTGACGACTTCTGATAGGAAGGCTCGACCTCGGTCGCTTAGTAGTTCTCGAGGTGCACCATGTCGTAATATGAAGCGATGAAGGATGAAGGATGCTATGTCCCGCGCAGTGGCACTTGGAAGGGCGGCGGTCTCAGCGTAGCGTGTTAAATGGTCCACAGCGACTATAATCCACCGATTTTCATCTGATGTTGTCGGTAGAGGGCCATAGAGATCAATTCCGATCCGATCGAAAGGTTTGGCAGGGCACGGAAGCGGTTGAAGCGCACCGGACGAGTGGAAAGGCGGTGATTTGCGACGTTGACAGTCAGGACAGCCCATAACGAATTTTCGAACGAAATTATACATTCCGCGCCAGTAGAAGCGATGGCGAATGCGTTCGTAAGTTTTGAAAACTCCGGCATGACCACATTGGGGATCGTCGTGAAAGGAGGCGCAGATTTGTGATCGCAAGCTGCGCGGGACAACCAAGAGCCACTTACGACCTTCGGGGGCGTAGTTGCGTCGGTGTAGCAGCCGATCACGAATGGTGAAATGAGCAGCTTGACGTCGGAGAGATCGTGGTACCGCAGTGGTTGACGATCCAGAAAGACAGTTAAAAAGGGAAGCGATCCACGGGTCCTTGTGTTGTTCACTGATAAAGGAGTCGAGGTCGAGAGATGCGATGGAGTTGGTACCAGTGGTTCCGCAGGCCGAGTCGGGAGGTAAAGGCGAACGCGACAGGGCGTCGGCGTCAGAATGCTTGCGTCCGCTGCGATAGATGACACGAATGTCGTACTCCTGGATTTGCAGTGCCCACCGAGCTAGGCGGCCAGAAGGGTCTTTCAATGTGGCGAGCCGACAAAGTGCATGGTGGTCCGTTACCAGGTCGAATGGGCGACCGTACAATTAAGGTCGGAACCTGGGAAGCGCCCACACTAGCGCCAAGCACTCTTTTTCAGTGACGCTGTAATTGGCCTCAGCTTTAGTAAGTGTGCGACTCGCATAAGCGACGACGTATTCGGAGTAGCCCGGCTTGCGTTGGGCGAGGACGGCGCCTAGACCAACCCCACTAGCGTCTGTGTGAACTTCCGTTGCAGCTGTTGGGTCGAAATGCCGAAGAATTGGAGGAGATGTTAGCAGACTACGGAGCGTGGCAAACGCGACGTCGCAGTCAGAAGACCAGGATGAAAGGTCTGCATCACCGCGTAGGAGGTTGGTCAGTGGTGACATGATCGATGCAAAATTTCGCACGAAGCGCCGGAAGTACGAGCATAGTCCGACAAAACTGCGTAATTCTTTCAGTGTAGTAGGTTTCGGGAACTCAGCGACTGCTCGCAGTTTTGCAGGGTCGGGTCGAACACCATGCTTGGAGACGATGTGCCCTAAGATGGACAGCTCTCGCGCGGTGAAGCGGCACTTTTTAAGGTTCAGTTGGAGCCCAGCGTT